TTTTTTTTTTTTTTTTTTTTTTTTTTTTTTTTTTTTTTTTTTTTTTTTTTTTTTTTTTTTTTTTTTTTTTTGAGTTGTTTTAAATTATGATGAATTTTAAATACATTTTCATCATAATCTAATAAAATGTTTAAATTAAAAAATATTACAATTTTAAAACAATAAAAACTAATTAAAAAGACAATAGAAAATTTTTAAAATATACATGTCATACTTGTATTTAAGATAATTTTACGTTAATAATTATTCTCCAAAAAAAATAATAATAAACATGCGAATAAAAAATTATTTGATGAAATCAATATATACATACATATATATATATATACACACAAACTTTATTAGGTAATAAGTTTTGATTATATGAATTGAGACACGTTGTGGATTTTGAATTTATGGTATGAATTTAATGTCTTAATTAAATGAATTTTGGATTTTTAATTTATGGTATGAAGTTTAAGAGCTATAAAATAAATAAAGGTCAATTATAATGGGTTTAGGGTTACAAAAGATTTCTGGTTTTCCCAAAATGGATATAATATTTTTTTTTGTTTATAAACTCATGATCTTCTTATTATTAATTAGCCAATGCGGGATTACTCCTCTCAATAATCCTCGATGATCTCTAATATTGGCCTTGTTAACTCAAACATCAGAGCTAGTGTGACTAAGCACCACGTCAATGTAGATTCTTTATTTTTGTGGGTCATGTCTTCCTTTTGTAGTCAGGTAAGTTGTTCTCTTGTTTAAATCGTAACAACGAACATTTACTACTGTAAAAGACATTCGACACTTAATTTAATAATAATTTAGATTGTCGGACGACTAAACTAATTTACCATGTCTTTCTGTTAACTAATATGTTTTTTTAGTAATTCAGCCGATCCTTTTGATTAACTAATATTTAGAATGAGAGAATTCGAACATCTCATGTAAGAGGACACTTTCTTTGTTTTTAGTTTAGTTGTCAATATTTGTCTCTTGCTCGAACTTGTATAATTTGGTAATATCACGTGGAGTAGATGTGTGAAAATTCATTGTTTATTTGGTTTTTTTAAGTATTTGATTTAATTTAATTTTTAAACCTTATTATTTATTAGTTAATTTATGTTTCTTCCAGAAAAAAACACAACAACGAAAAGGAAAAGACAAAAACACCCTTCGCAAATTGCATTTGCCACCTTTATAGCACATGCCATCTTTGGCAGTAGTTTTAAAAAATTGTTAAAATTATTTTTTTCATTTTATTTTTAATTATTTAGAAGCATATTTTAAATCATTTTTTAATATTTAAATATCAATTATTTACTCAGGAATTTAGAATATGTTTCAATTATGCATCTAAATTTTAAAAATTTATCTTTTAATCCTTTATTTTAAAATTTTAACTATATTTTAAAAATGAAATAAATGACGATCGTAATATATTAGGTATACGTTGAATTTTCATTATTTTTAGAAAAATATTTTTTTTTGAATCAATTTCCAAATTCAAATATAAATTTTTATACAAATTTCAAAGTCATAATTAACCATTTAAAAAAGTTGACTTTTGACTTCAAATAGTTATTACATTCTAAAATCAGAACATATTTGATGACATCACATATGTGACCCTATTCTCAATTTAAAAATAAATAAATATTTAGTATTATAGTTAGTCAATCACAGCATTTAAACACATTTTTTAAAAATAAAATATTATTCTTTAAATGGTAAAATAAAATGCATTTTAGAGACGTTATAGTTTTATTTGGTAGTGTGCCAAGTCAGCAAACTTGAACAGGGAGTACAAATAATCTCGGAAATAGTTAAAAAATAAATGGAATTATTTAACATTTAAAATATATATATATATATATATATATATATATATATATATATATATATATATATATATATAATTTGTAAAATTTTATTACAAAATCCTATAGATAGAAATGTTTGTGTTAAAGATTACAGTGACATGTTGATGATGATTGAGAGAGTCGGTCTCACATTAGATAATTAAGAGGAAGATCATTAATTTATAAATAAGAAACACTATTACTATTGTTAGAAGACATTTAGGGAAAACCAAAAGAATAGTCACGAGAGTTTATGCTCAAAGATGACAATATCATATTAATATGGAGGTTTAACATGACACACCTCACATACAGTGGAGAATCATCGTTTCAATGAAGAACGAGTAAGGGAGCGGGAAAAGTTTTCTCTTCATTGGCTAAATGGGGTTTGTATTTCCCTAGTCTATGCTCCATCTCGATTATTTATTCATTTATTATCGTTATTATAATAAATTTATTGTTGAAATAAATTAAGAAATAGAAAACAAAAAGAAGGAATAATATGAATTATTAAGAATAGTATTTATTTATTTATTTATTTATTTTCATTAGCTGAAAAAGGAGGAAGAAAGGAGGTGTCTTTTTGGTGCGGAAGTGGCGGCGACAACCGTACGCAAAATGCCACCGACCAAACCGCCCATTGTATGCGTGCAAACATGACCGCTCTGTCGTTTTATCCCCGCCCACCCTGACATTGACGTCTGCCATCTCCCTTTTGGCTCCCTCCTCACTTTTCATATTCCGACCCCTCTACTTCATTTATATTCCATTTCTTCCCCTCCTACCAACAATTATCTCACTAATGGCCCTCTTTTTATAATCAATTCAATTTTTTAAGGATAATTTTTATTATTTACAAATTTCATCATTAATATTACATGAAAATTTGAATAATAGTACGAATTTTTAAGGATATATTTGTCGAGTTTTAAAATTCAAGGACTTAATTGCAAATTAAATGAAATAGAAATGAAATAATTACCTATCAAATTTAGAGATTTGATTATTTATTTATTTTTGCATTATTTCAGGTGGTGGGAAGCTTCATCCTTTTTCAATAATAATTTAAAATATATGAATGTTCATAGGACTGATTAGAACTACAGAACCCAATTCATAAAAGTTGAGTTGAGTTAAAAGATTTTTCTGTTGTTGTTGAGGAAAAATGCATAATTAGTTATTAAATTATTTGGAAGGGGTATTTATGGAAAATCAGGTCAAAATTAATAGCTATTTTCCCAACTTCCTCGTCCCGCGTCTAAAATTATATTACGTAATTAAAAACAGGGCGTTACTTGATTTTAAGTATTTTATTTTTGGAAATTTGGGTCAAAATTATTATTTATTTATTCTTCTTTTTATTTCAACATAGAAGTAGCTTTCAACTTCAAATTATTTATTGTATTTTATGGAATTAAATTGAAAGTTTAAAATTAAAATAAATTAGGAAAATTTTATATTTATTAGAAGAATTATGTCCCAAATCTTAATCTAAATAATTGGAACAAGAATTTTATGAATAAAAGTTATTTCATGGATACTTCATATCAAAGTTGAATTATCAACTCATTAATTATACATTAATATGTGTGGGACCCACAAATGAAGGAAAAAAAAAAATTAAGACAACCTTTGACTCGCGGCGGGTTGAATGATCCACGTCGGCGGACTAGTCATATTGGGTCTGATAGGGCAGGCGAGTTGAGGTGGACGTGGAGGGTGACACGTGGAAATTTCTTCTATATAATTCCAACATATTTATATTAGTTATTTTTAGGAGGAAAAAAAATATATATATATTTGAATTATTATTATTTTAATTAAAATGAGAGAAACTTGGCTCCTCAAAATCAAATTATTATTATTATTTTTAATTAAAACCTTATCTAAAATCTCCAAAGGGCAAAGGGCAAAGGGCAAATACGACTGAACTCCACAGAAAGTTGAAAGCGAAAATGGATGGATTGCAGCAATTGGGGGTTCCATTGATGGGCATTGTTGCAGCGGCAGCCATTACCTTCTACGCCGTAAGCTTTTCTGAGATTCGAGAGGTATCCTTCTTTCTCCATTTTCTTTTATTTTGAGATCATGGATTTGTTGTCGCTGTTCGTTCTCTGTTTGTGATTATTATGGAAAATTATTAATGGTTTTAAATCTGGAGGAATGTGAAGAAATCATTCAGAGATTTGGATGAATCTGAGGATGAGAATCCAGGGTTTAAGATGACTGCAAGTTCGAGAGAGAGGCGAGCGAGAAGGAAGGCTGAAAAGGAAGCGAAACGATGAGAATTTCTCTCTTACTCTTCTCACTTTTCTTCATTTTCTTTAAGCTTTCATTCCTTATTTTGGTGCCTTATCTGTATATTTTAAGTTATACACTTGGAGACCACGATCAACCGGTGTGAGGTTTAAATTTTTATGTTTTCGAAGTTTTTCGACTTAAACAACAACCCGATGAGTTCTCCAAGTGAACAAGCATTGGATATTCCATCCTATCTCGAATCTCTCACGCCAAAACTAATGGATTCGTTAGGAAGAGATTTTCACACCCTTATAAAGAATGTTTCGTTCTCCTATTCGATCGATGTGGGATCTCACAAAAACTTTCAACACATACCTCACTTTCCCATGAAAATGTGTACCAGTTCGATCGTTTTTATAACGACAACAGACAACAGACCATCTGAAAACCAACGCTTCTGTTGAGGATTGAATTAACTTCAACAGAATGATTATTATTATAAGAAACGTTTCTGAAAGAGAGCAAATTTAACTTTGAAACCCAAATAAACTTGTTTTTATTCAGAGATGATCTTAAGAATCTAGTAGTTGAGTGACATTTCTCAACAGCATCCAAAGGCTTTATTTCAACTTACAAATTGGTGTGGGACAAGATTACAGACTATCATTGATGTCTTCTGTACAAGACACAAGCCGATCAACTTTTCACCACCATCAAAGCATTTGACCATCACGGGCAAGGGTTTCTTTGTTCCTTTAGAGCAAGCAAGACAGGATCTGGTTCCTAAAGCCCTTTCGCTGTAATTATTTGCAGCAGCTACCTCTGAGCCTTCAGCTCCTTCACTCTCTCTTCAGTAGCCTTTAGAGCATTCCCATAGATGCTGATTAACTGGAAACAAGAACAATGACTTAAATTCTAACAAAAGTGTTTTGAGATTGAAAATCAATCCCAATAAGCTTTCAGGGATACCTCATCAACTTCTTGAGGAGAGATGATAAATGGTGGAGACATCATTATAGTATCCCCTGCAACACGTACAAGCATACCATTTTTCTGACATTCGGCTCCAAAGTATGCACCGACTCCTGTTTTCAAGGCAAATAACAAGCTTTCATCATAAGTATGGCCCTGGTAGATCAAAATCAAGGTCCACTAAATTGCTGGGTCTGTGATTTTGGGGTAAAGCTGATCCAAAATCATGATGACATGATATTGTTGGGAGAGGAGTCCCATCGACTAATTAAGAGGATGATCGTGGATTTATAAGTAAAGAATACATCTCCATTGATATGAGGTTTTTTTAGGAAATCAAAAGTAAAGACGAGAGCTTATGCTCAAAGTGGACAATATCATACTATTATAGAAAGTCGTGATTCCTAACCGATATAAGCTACTGTGTTAGTCTTTTTTCAAGACTTACGAAGTTGGGGTGAACCAAACCTTCGCAAGCTGTTTTCTAGAGATGAGCCATTAAGATGAATAACCAACTATGGGAATTACATAAAACATACCCCATTCAGGAGGGAAGGGATCATTTGGTGATTTATTGTCTACAAACTCTGTGCCCAAGATCAAGCCAGTCCCTCGTATCTGCAAAAATCACGGTCATTGTTAAGAACTGAAAATGGTTCAGATTCATAAGCCAAACCTAACTACTTGTGGAACTCTCTGTACCTCTCCAACGATAGGGCTGTCAGAGAAAGCTTTAAGGCCATCTTGAAACCTTGAGGAAATGCTATTTACTTTATCCACAATATTCCTTTCCCTACAATGAAATGAAGTAAACTTCCCGACAATATGGTAATTTTAAACATATGCACTATATCACGGTCATGCTTGCTACTGCCAAGAAAAATGCGATTGTTTCCATCCTATACGTCAGTTCGTATTGTAACAATTACATATATTGTTTTTATGCTTAAAACAATAATTGCACCCTCGAACTCCAATATGATAATTTTAAGGGTTATCTTTGTCATTCTCAATCAACGAATATTATAACTCCAAAAGCAATGGTGTAGCAACATACTTGTAGATCTTGAGTGTTTCAATTGCAACAGCACATGAAACCGGGTGTCCAGAATATGTAAATCCATGAGCAAAGGAACCTGGAAGTAATATTATTGAACAGGACTAGGTAAGTTACTGGACTCAAATTTATTAACCGCGACGACTAGTTTATTCTATAAGCCATGTACCAAGCTTGTTGCTTTGAGAGTGAACCACATCAGAGATTTCAGGGCTCACAATAACAGCTCCAATTGGCATGTATCCCGAGGAAAGCGCCTACACAGTCCAGTCCACTGTCAGATTCAAACAAAAACGATGAAACAAGATATCTGGTTAAGTTGAATCTGTTCGAACTTCACCTTTGCAAGAGATACAAGGTCTGGTTTAATATTGTATTTATCGCATCCAAACATTGTCCCTAGTCTTCCAAAGGCACAGATTACCTATAATAAATATTGAAGATAGCTCCTGGTTCATATTGGAATCATTCTTCTAAACAAAGTGAAATGATGAAGAAAATTGCAATTAGCACGTACCTCATCAGCAATAAAAAGTATATCATACTTCTTGACCACAGCTTGGATCTGCAACAGAAATAAGAAATACATCATTCACATAACTGGAATAGCAATAACAGAGGCAAAAACTGTGTCCTAAAGATGAGTCTGGTCCACAAGCAATGAAGAAATCTGTTTCATTGAGTTTCTTGATTCATCTGAACTTTTCTTTTTCCTGGATTGCTCATACTAAGGAGATTCCAGCTTTTGTCATCCTCAAAGCTTTTGGTTTAAATTTGCCTAATCTCATCAACAAGCTAATGACCAAAGTTGTATTTGCAGTAAGTTCGAGAAAACAGCTAAGAATGAAGGGCCAACTGCCTAAATTTTCATAAGCCAGCTTCTGATAATGAGCATACACGATAAGATAGTGAGGTTGATGGAGTTTATTCATGCCATCGTGTAAACAAGCCAGTCCTCATAGTTTAGGTTAATGTCAGCGTTAATAAATTGAGTTTTCTTCAATACCTTTGCAGTTTAAAGAGCTTACCTTTTCAAAATAAGTAGCAGGTGGAGGAATCACACCACCAGCTCCCATGACAGGTTCAGCGATGAACGCAGCAATCTGAAGGGTAAAACCAGACATGGGAGAAGGAATGAATTATTGTAATTCAAAGTAGAGTATTCAAGCTTACCGTTTCTGGTCCCTCCTTGAGTATAAGGTCTTCTAAGTTTTTGGCTAATCTGGTTGAGAACTCTTCCTCTGTCTCACCTGAGATAAGGATGATAGCAATTGAACGACGTGAAAAAAAGTAAAAGAATGTTTACTGACTGTCTATCCAGGCGTAGATCAGAACCTGGAAGATGGTAACGCCAGTAATGTGGACAATCAGTGTGCAGAACAAATGGAGCTGGAATGTCAAACTTTTGGTGCAAAGCCGGAAGGCTGTGGAAAAATATATCAAAACAACAAAAATAACATTCAAGTAAGTATTCCTTTTAACAAGAGATATAATGTCCATTTCCTTCACATTAACCTACCCAGTAAGACTGGCTGATATTAATGTTGAGCCATGGTACCTGTTGAATAGAAGAGTGCAAGGAAGAAAATAGTTAATTGAACAGAACAGAAAGAAATGATACATATCAATATCAGCCAAGTGATTTTCGCTTACGCTTTTGAGCGAGCAATGAACTTCTTCTTATTCGGTCTTCCAAGTGCATTGTTATAGTACCATACCAGCTTGACCTATCACACGTTTTAAGCACAAAATGAATTACTTGGTTGCATGGATGCAAAGCTTTTAGTCCTGTTAGTTTCATAGTTTTTTCTTCCTTTATTTGCGAGTAAAAAAAAACCTGAGTATCATTGGCCTCTGAACCACTGTTAACAAAAAATACTTTCCCCATTTTCCTTGCAGTAAACATTTCAAGGAGTTCCTTGGCCAGATCCTGTCACATAAGAACAGCAAGAAAGTGAAACTAATGAAAGGAGCATTTCTTTCTTTCTTTCTTTCTTTAACTGCAAAAAGAGGGCAAAAAAGAAGGTCAAGGTTGCATAGGATACCAAAGAAGGCCTCGTTGTACGATTCCAAAAGGAGTGGTAAAATGGCAAGGTATTCAATTGTGAAGTAGCAGCTGCCACAAGTCGTGGTTCGTTTCCCCCTACAAATTCCAACATTGCTTAACTAACTAAAACCAAAGAATTTAGAAAAGAAAAGTACTCAAATCATATAAAGCAATCAAAAATTTGCATCATACTGAAATGCCAGAACTTTTTATACCAAGAAATTCTCCTTATGTCTGCTGCATCCAAAATTTGGACTAACATTTGGAGCATTTGAAACTAATGAACTTGAGGCTATCAAATTAACATACTTGATTCTCATCCGTCTTTGATCTTTTTTTGTATCCCAAAAAGTTAGGAAAAACTCCAAATTATAACTAGGAGTCTAGAATACTCCATATCAGTGTAGTTTTTATCTTTCATAAAGTATCAGCACGTAAGCTAGTAGGATAAAACAACAACGATGGAACTGTTTTGTGGTACCTAAAGATGTGCACCATAGACCGGCAAGAGAGTCAAGGTACTTCTTTCCATCAATGTCATATACATATGAGCCCTGTATCACCATAGAATTTGAAGTCTGAATGAAAAGGCTATACCTTCTAATTAAATCAAAACAGAACGAACATAACTTCTCTTTTATTATCCATTCGATTGGAAGATATCGTTAGGCTGATACCTCGGATTTCTCTATGATTAGTGGATGAACATCAGTGGTCTGCCATCCTGCAGTGAAAGGTGCAAGCATATCATGCCCCTTAAACCTGAAATTCAAGCATGTTTGTGGTCAATGAGAAACTCAATGTAATCCAAGCAAGCATTGATATCACAAATCATGCATGAGAATGCAAAGAAGGAATAAAATGTACCCTGGATCATCTTTTTGAACTGAAGCCCCTGTACCGTAGAAGCGGGACAGACAGGGAGCTAGGATGGCTAGGATGCCATGTTCCTGTGAAGCTCTACTAGAAGCAGTGACGGCTTTTGTAAAGCTACCAAACTGCAAAAAGAAAAAAGAAAAACAGAGAAAGAACCATCATAATTTGAAAAACTCTTGGAACTGTTACCAAGAAAGAGGATCTAAATTGGCATTGCTGATATCA